TACGCGGTGCGAGCTTGTTTATTTTACTGGATCGGTATTTCACTACAGAGAAAACTTTTTGCACAGACAGACAGACAGCGTTGCTAAACATTTACTTGCCGTGATACAACAGAGGAAGATCCTTAATCAAACAAGGACTCCATATATCGATGCAATGCTGACACAAGTGTTAATTTACTATGGTATAAGGTGTTTATTATTAAGATACTTATTATTTATTATTAAGGAACTTATTCATCATTAGGTTAACAACAAGAGAGGGTCCCTGAGTTGTAATAGTAGGACGTAAATAAAATACCATCCAAAATACTTAATATTGAATTCAAAACATTTTAATATCTACATATATCCAGATTGTATAACTTACTTATCAGCCGTAATTGTTCCAATACTGGAGACAGGCATTTCCCAAGGCATGTATTAAGATAAATCTTCATTACCGAACCGAACCCCTATTTAACTACATCGCTAAATATGAGTACGTACATGTAAAACTTTATTTACAAAATTAGGTAAGCACTTATTACCCAGTACCCACTTTTGCTTATATTTGCTTAATGCAATACAAAATCAATAGTTGGCCAAGAGAAAAAAAAACAAATTCACACAAGCCTACAACTTAGAAACTCTCAAGTTACCAAAACGCCCAACACATGTTGATAGTCAGATCGACGTTCTTTTTTATCTAGCCACTCGAAAAGGTCGATTGGCTCCCAGAGTTAATATGTCATATTTTAAAATTATGAGTATTATGTTACAACATATTTGGAAAGTCGCCTTTTATTGAATGTATTTATGTAGGTAGTATTTTGATGTGACTAGATAGAATTTTAACGGTGGTGGGGCCACGCAGCAGCCTCGGCTGTTGCTCGAATGGGCAGGCTCGTCCGGGTAAGTACGACGACCTCACAGAAGACCGGCGTAAAGTGGAAGTATAATACTTTCGCGTTTCGTCGGGTGAGTGAGGTGGCCGGAGCCCAATTTCCAAAAGATTGTCAACACATCTGGAACCCTCGAGTGTAGCAGATGTCCATGGGCGGCGGTATTCACTTAACATCAGGTGAACCGTCTGCTCGTTTGGCAACTTTTCACATTAAAAAAAAACTATTACTCAGTCTCGTTAATTAAAAACAATACTGGCTGACGTAGCTATTACAATAGTTTAAAACTAATATATAGGTTAAACTTGTGTCTGTAACAAAACTGGCCACAAGAGACGTGCACAAACAAATAAAGTATGAAATAAAATTGGGACGTCCAATGATTGCCAAAATTATATGATGCTAATGACACATATAATGTCAAATGGCTCATGATTTACTGCAAAAACAACTCTACTACTAACTTAATTGCCTCGGACCTGATGGTGAATTAATTATTAACAGGCTAGCATACTGAGGCAATATTTTATCATAATAAGCGACCCGCAACTTAAACCTGTCGTACTTACAATTCGATGTTCTAAAGAAAATAAAAGTAAACACGTCAAGAACCCCGTCTAACGACCCAAACGACTCACTAATTGCACCATCTACGGAGACAATCACTTAAGAATGTATTTAGTCTAGTGACTTTTTCATAGTGGCACACACAGTATAAAAAACCAGTGTCGTTTAAAATCGAGTCGCTCCTATGTAAATATATATATTGATAGACAATAGATTCGAATCCCATGGATCTCCAAAAAGCCGAGGGTATTTGTTAATTTGGGAATCTATAAAATATGACAATTTAGATATTTAAATTGGGAGTACAACTGAAAAATATGTTTTCGAAAATACATAGGTTTACTCACGATGTTTTCTTTCACGATGAGCACGTGATAAGATAGCACTTAAAATGAACAATTTCATTGGTGCTGGCACCGGGGATCGAACTCAGCTAAGCAAGCGAGCTGTTATGGCTTTGGAATGACTGCAATGCCTTTAAAATCGTAAAATTTACTATTGATCCTCACATTTTCAAATTAAGGTTAATTATTATCTCATTAGTTAACTTTTCAAACGAACAAACTACATGTTGCAATGGCCACTTTAAAAAATTCTCTAATATTTACTCTCAGTCTGCGCATGCACAACGCAGCACTGACGCTTTGACAACACAATCCGTCAAATGATATAACTTCACATATACACACACAGACGTACTAAGACATTAAGTAAACGCATTAACTTTTAGTTAATTATTAACAAAACGTACATTTAAACAGTCCCCGGCGTGAAAACAAATTTGAACAAGATTTTTGAGTGGCATCAACATTGTTAGGTGCCAATATCGAGCTTAGGCGCTAGATTAGCGTACGCATTTACAAGTCAACGCCGCTTATAAATAGATAATTTAGACGTTGGCGCACGTTGAGTAATTGATATTTAAAGAATGGAATGCATGTATGGGACGTTGTTATTATTCGGAAGCTAATCCGGACCGCGGAAAAGTGAGCTATCACGACCCTTGTGGCGTGATCGGGGCTTGTGATTGGTTATCTTAAGCCGCTATTATTTTACAATAAAAAAAAAGCCGCCCAAGCAAACGTGCGAGTCGGACTCGCGCACGAAGGGTTCCGTACCATTATCTATAAAAAAGGGCAAAAAAAACATGTCTGTTGTATGGGAGAGTCCAACTTAAATATGTTTTATTCTGCTTTTTAGTATTTATATAATATATGTATAAGCGGTATTCGGTGAAATTGTTCTAATGTCGCATAATTCACCAAGTAATAGTAATTTTGATTATGGAAAGCGGGGTTTAAATAACACGTATCGACGCGCAGATTTAACGTCATAATTTTAAGAAATGTCATCATAATTTTTATCTGCGATCGACGAGATTACGTTAATCGTATTGGCATCGTATATTAAAACGAATCTAGAGAGATTAGGATCATTAAAAGTAAAAAATATATAGTAATTTAGACATATGTATCGTATCCATCCAATTTTTACAAATTTTATAAGTTTCATAATTTCATACTAAAACGCTGATGTCCTTTTTGCTGATGATATAAATGTGTGACAAAAAAGGGAGCATTAGGGACTCCATATACATTTTCGTGCAGCTAAACTTAACGTCGATATATTCATGTTATATGAACTAAGTTATTCGAATATAAGTTAAAATTATGACTATAAAATTCAAGCTAATTTTGCAAATCCGAAATTATAAATCATCTACAACAGTAGCTCAGTATTTAGTGTAAGAGAATCAGTTTATGTCTGAACTCCTATTGATGATCCAGCAATCGCATTTATATGGACGACCTTGTTAATTTAAAAAAATCAATGAACAAGGACATGCATGGAACGATTGCAAAGCATCGATATTTTTGTATCCTCGCTGTCCGCCACTGCAATGTCTGCTTAATACAATATGCCCGTGAACACGTAAGAAATACGCCGCGCTAAGGGGAGCCAAGGAGAAGATGATCATATTTAAAAAAATGCTCCCGTGCCAATTGGGTCAGTCGTTTGACTGACCTGGCGAGAGGGAGGTACGGTAAAGTCGCAAAAAATAGCCAAACACAATCACTACACGCGATTCACATTTCGGTATATGCTAAGTAAGTAATTATTATCATGTACTCAGCGGTGATGAAACCTGCATATTTTCGAAATAATAACAAAAAAAATTTTTTCGAAGATATGTGAAATCTGCCAATCCGCAAAGAGGACGCGTGGTGGACTATGCCCTAATACCCTCTGAACAGAGGAGGCCTTTGCCCAGGAGTGGGATATGAACAGGCTGATACTTTACTTTTTATATGCTAAGAAAATACTGCATGAGACAATCAGATTCGATTCAATTTCGATCACGATTCCGTTGCTTCTATAAATTAATACAGCTAAAAAGTACATATGTTACATAGAATGGGAAGTCATCAATGGAATCGAAATAAAATTACCTATTTGCGTATAACTCTGTTCTAAATTGTGGTATAATTTCGATTTGTCTAAACCATAGCCGCAAACTGAATAAAGGCCCATTTACATGGTGCCAGTTTCTTGCCTGTTGTATACAATTAAATTGAAGCAATAAATGAGTTGTATGGTCTAAACAACAAATGGTCTAACCAATTATTGCGCGCAATTTATTGCATTCAATTATTGCTCTTGTATGTACAAGAAAATGGCATCGTGTAAATGGGCCTTAACACGAAAATGAATGAAGTTGGAAACGGTTTTGAGCTATTTTAAATATCTTCTTTTTGGTCATTTCACCATAAAGGACAAAAATGTCAAATATTTCAAATTATCTGCTGTTTGTTTTGTTTATTGTTGTTAGTATTTGTTACATTGCCTCGAAAGTTTTTGTGCAAAAAGATGGGGTACGTACAAAACCAGAGGCTTGATTTATGATTTCATGAAACGGTATGAAAGCCCAAAGAACATTTTCATTGTTATAAAACTGACTGTAACTTCGACAAAAGGATATCGAATTTCAAGGGTGATTGTCGATGTATTGAATAAGAGAGCTTTTGTATAAGAACGACGGCAAGCTACTTTTGCTTATTTCGAACAAGAAAATGAAGGAGGGCTATAAATTATTATCAATAAATGTAGTAAAGTATGATAAGTTTTTCGGAAGGAATGTAATAAAAACGGTTTAGTATCTTTCAAAATTTATAAAACGGTTGCGTCTACTGTCGGTAAGGAACGAGTTTTAATGAAGTGTTCATTAATCTGTTCCGTCGTTATATACCGTCTTCAATTCAACCTTTAGCGTTTAGTTTCGTGCGTACGATTATTCGCACCTGATATAACAATAGCAACGCAGTACTTACGCAGGTGTGGTCGACGCTCGCATGAGCCGCCCATCTGAGCGCACGGAGCCCCGCTCTCGGGGCCCACTATACTTATACCCATTGCGTGCTACGGAAGAAAGCAGACACCGAGCAGACTGCGCACAGCGGCCGAACGAGAAGTGGGTTAATTGAAGACAACAGGGCCCAGCGGCGTCGGCACTCCGACGAGATTCGATCACGGCCCGCCTCCGAATTAATATTACGGCTGCGGCTCATTCGTGATGACGCGCAGCGCTCCCACCGTGAGCTTGTAACAAGCTCGGACAAGTTGTTTGCGTTGTACACGCTCGTCGCCGAAATCGTCACAGAACCATTGAGAGTCACTTCTCAGAGTGCCTACCATATAAGAGGCAAAATCGTAACAAAACCAACGAGAATCACCTCTCCGATTTAATAAAATGTTATGAACGTGCGACAGAAAAAAGAAACCATTAAATAAAAAAGGCAATGGAAATGGTTTATTTAATCAATTTTTTCGTTCTAACATAAAATCAGTGACTATAACTGAACTAGAAGTGTGACTATAACTTACAATAACAAGATAGTTATTCATTTCCTATTGTGAAAGTAAAAATGATCTAGGTATTAAATAGTTTGAGCTACTTTCTCCAATAGACGCGGGGTTGAACACCTCTAGCTATCTGCAGTGCGACAATATCTCCTCGATTTTGAATGGAAATATCAAAGTTTCTCTTATAAAAGTAAAATATATTACAAGATATACAAGGACAAAACCGATTCAATCCCTTGCTGCAGTGTGGAAACATATTCTACATGTTCTAGGAATAAATTATCCTTAATACAAACTCAGATAGTCTTCTCTATGATGTAGAACTTACAGTGTCTTTAGTCTGAAAATAATCCGTAACTAAAAAGAAGGTTTTTTTAGAATTAGAAGACTTAATAAATAAATAGAAACGTCATGTTCGGCGTAATGAAAATACACATTTTCATCAAGAACTAAGGTACTGATTGATATCTTCGTTTTTGCTTCCATTCATCCATAATACAAAGCGTATCAAGGCGGAAAGAATACACAATTACGACTAAAACTACGAATGTAGTGTTAGTCAAAGCAAATATTCACTAAGTTGGGGATATATTCGAAAATTGCTGAAAAAAAAGCGACACTGCTATAAACACATCATAAACTCCGCCTTCGTAATACGACCCAAAGTTAAATTAGCTTTAACCAAGTTTATAACATTACAGTAACGCTTATTTAGACCCGCTGAAAATAAGTCAGCGGGGAATTTTTGTAACGCAGTGCGCTTAGAATTTAACTTACTGGAACGAGTATTTTACTTTACTTGAAAGAGTTCCACTTCGAAGTCGGTACGGACTACGGACGGACCTTCTTTTGATTCTAATGTAAAAAAACGTCACCCGTAGAACAATGCACCGTAAACACAATAAGCTAACGTAATGAGAGGTAAACGGTATGTATACCGCTTCCTGGGCGATGGACATTAAGCGAATACTAAACGCGTCCTCAAACATCAGAAGATCTGCCGCTGAAGCAATTTGGCACACGGGCTCACAGGCTCACAAGGTTAAGAGTATTGAAGAGTTATTTGAGTAGCCAGTCTCTTCACCTTCATTCTATTGAGTTATGTGTAAAAAGTTGAGACAAATAAAACACTAAAGCGCAGTTTCTGAAACACTGATCATCGTAGAAATTAACTAATCAGCTATCAAATGCCCTCTCAAATGTAATTTGAGTTGCCAAAAGGATGGTTAAGCACTTTAAATCGATCATTCTGTTAAACTTACTTAATTAACCATCCTTTTCGCAACTCAAATGACATTTAAGAAGCTATTTGACAGCTGATTAGTTAATTTATACGATGATCAGTGTTTCAAAAACCATGCGTTAGCTTCTTCAATGTTATAACTACATCAACTGACTTAGAATTGAGCTGGAAAAACTTTTTCGTAATTTAGTACATATTATTTTTATTGAAAATCAAATATACCACTCTCTGTTATTATTATTCACATAATGGAGCATGTACAAGTACTACAAACACGAACACACATTTGCAAAACGGTATAGTTGTTCGCACTGTATTTACTACGTCTAATGGCCACAGCTGTATTGAAACAGACAACATTACGAAAAAGAAAAAAGATATCGAAACCAACCCGCAGACTGGACGAAGCGGTTGTAAAAGAATAGGAACAGTGCCTACATATCTATGAATAGTACATGTAATTAGTTTTGACACCCACACGGGCGAAACGAAACCAGAGCAAAGTTCAACGCACTCGGATAGTGAAACCCATTCATCAAACTCACAGTTAGATCGGTAGTGTCGGGCTGCTTGTCAGAAACAATAGTGGACGCGTGACAGTCTCGGTTGACGTCACCGCGTAAAAAGTAAATTAGAACGGACGGCTTTAATTTCTTCGTTCACATTCAACGACTACGCATACGGACTATTCTTAATACGACCTTGTACAAGTAAGCAGCAGAAATTTTGACAATGGTTAAATAAAAAAAGGGAACTAATCGAATTCATAACGCGCAGTACGCTAGATAAGAAGAAGACATCTTGTGCACATGCGCACCGATGGGATACATATTATATTCCATCGAAAGACTGAATCTTTACAGCGTAGGGAAACGAACAAAACATTAACAAATACAGTACGAATAAAAAGTTTCTGTTGACCGCAAGAACAATTGGATTCCGATTGCGATGTTGACTTGCGGGGCGTTCCGATCGAGGTGCGTCGGCGCGAGTTCATTATACTGGTGATAATGGCGGTGCTGCAGGAAGGCAGTGCGGCCAACGGTTCCGGGAAGCGACCGCAGACGAGGCGCAGACGGGATGACGTCACACCGCGACCCGCCAATTGGGGCATCGGGTCTATCTCGCTTAGGTTTGTCAGCCGCCTCGTTGTGGTTTTGGGGCGCCTCTTAAAATTTTTCAGTCTCGAAAGTATAAATTTAGTGTATAAATTTGAATTGATTGAAAAAACTAAACTTTGTTTTATACTAGCTAAATAAGGCTAGAAAATTATCTCAATCCTTGTTAAGTGAAGAAATTTTTCAAAAATATTAGAGGTATATAAATACTTAATACAATATTAATACGAGTAATATACTTATGAGTTCATTTACTAAATACAAATAAAAGGTAAATAATGTATAAAACTCAATCGCACGTAACTCAATACGGAAATTATTATAAAATAAGAAATCGATACCAAAGTTGTAGGACATAACGGCAACAATGACGGTACTAAAGTATAAGGATAATAACACCCGTTCCTGTTATAGAAAAGTGTTATAAGGAATCATCATTGTGCAAAATTAGCTACACCCGCGTTCTAGGGCGGTTCTCGCCGCCCCCAGCCACCGATTAGCTAAAAACACAGTCGACGGCCATCGGGGTCTCGGTCCGCACCGCAACTTCGATGGCCCTTAGATGACATGTCGTAGTTAAACGCACGCATGAGCACATGCGCGGCCCTACCCACAACGGAGGGCCCAAGCCTGTGGGTTCTGGCTAGCCCACCGGTTCTGCGTCAGATGAAGCTTTAATAGTCTCGGGACTGAAAGCAAAAACATCAGTTAATACAAGTACAAGTAGCAAAATTAGTACCAGAGTACGTTGCCACGAGGAAATCACCGCGATTTACCAACCCACGGTAATCGCGGCGCGGTACATAAGTCTAACATTACACTTCTTTATATAACATAGAACGTAAAAGTTTAAATACTAATATTTATATCAAATATTAAAAATATTTGATATAAATATATTATGTATAAGCTATTTCTTCAACACAATTTTTTTATAACATATATTACTATGAATAAGAAAAATTACGCTTGCACTTTCTTAATATCAAGCATGCGTCTTGAAAATTGAAATCATTGATAACAACGTAACAGAAATTAGAACTTAATAAAAACATTACAGATAATACAAAAATCTGTAACGCCCTTTTCTTCTAAATAAATATTTGTATGTCAACTTTCCATGTTATAACGAATAAGGAAAAACATATTATAATTAAATATTTCACAGCATTAAATAACCACCGACACACCGTAATGAAATTAAGCAAACCTTTTTTCCGCAAAATATTGTTAATTTTAGGCGCTTTTACAAGAAATATTTAACGTAAAAACCATTTGCATTTAAAGTATACTAAGTAACTGCTGCACTGAGGGACTTTAGTTTTAGTTATTTTAATGAGTCGTCTTAAATGTAATTCAAAATTTAAGTTTATTCCTTAAAAGTCATAAATACTGAAATTTGCAAACTAATGAGTTGCTGCGGTCGCTAGATATGATTGGTTTTGCGATGATTGTAAGAGAAGTCTGTGAACGAAAACACACCGTTAGGAAAGTTACGCCCGGTTTCTCAAACACAGATCAGTACCTAAGTTGTAATTTGAAATCTATTTGACAGCTGAATAGTTGTCATCTACGATGATCAGTGTTTCAGAAACCGGGCGTCAGTGTTCTAATTGTGTTATATTCTTCCTTTACAGATAATGGACCCGTAGAATAAATCATTCTTTATGACAAACAAAAACGAATACCATTAACGGTGTTCGGGTCGAAAGGAAATGTACGGTATGTTCGAAGTTCTTACGGAGATTTTCATATATCTTATCTCCTCTCTCTCTTCGTCTTATCTAAATCCCTTCTTCTAAAATTACCCTCGCTCTCTTCTTCCTGTTATGGCAGCTCTTTTACAGTACACGCGGTGCGTCTCTGGAACTCTTTACCTCATAATGTCCGTGCCAGTCCATCATCGAACGTTTTCAAGAAAAGAGCAAAGGAGTTTTATTTATCCACATAAAGTATAAAGTATTTTTCTCCTTATATATTAAGTGTATGTTATGTATTGTGTATATATGTTTATAGATATATTTATGTATTTATATTAATATATATATTTACGCATGGGATTTTAAAGAAATATCTCTGTGCACTAAACACATTTTCAGCTACCTTCAATCAAATTTTTTCTCACCAGGTTAGCTGGCAGAGAACTCATGCATTGAGTTAAGCTTACTTTTTGTACATTACTTTTTTAAACATTTTTTTTTATCCTGTGTTTTGTGTACAATAAATACATAAATAAAAATAAAATATCTCTTATCCTTTAAACGAGCAATTCTTGTATATATATATATATATATATATATAATCGGAATCTTGGAAACGACTCCAGCGATTTTCATGAAATTTAATATGTGCGTAGATTCGGGGGCGAAAAATCGATCTAGCTAGGTTTCATTTTTAGAAAATGTCCTTTTATCCCTGTTTTCAGGGGATGAAAAATATCATTCCAATATGACAGTAAATTTCGCCGCAAAATAAAATGTTATAATAGCTCGGTCGGTAATCGGGCGGCCCCAAAACAGACGGCCGTGGTTCGTATCTAGTTGTTCGTATCTACTATATAGTTGATCCAGATGATTTTTTTTCCTTTTTTTTTAAAGTTGTTTCTTTTGTGAAAAACACCACTTCATATTTTCTTATTATTAGTTCGGTAAGACCGAAAAATATTATGCATATTTCATTACTCAGTAATTTGTATCTGAATGTAATTTCCAAAATAAACGATTTACAAAAAAAAAAAACAAACCGAGCAAAGCTCGGTCCTCCAGGTACTTTCTTTTATACGACTAACGTACTTGCGATAAATTGCGATAGTGTTACGCGATTGTTGTGCTATGTGTGCTCCATGCCGCGGGAGATTTCAAACGTACACAAAAATCACTGATACACTACACCCAGACTCGCAAAAACAATTTGAGGATCATATATGTTTTTAGATTGTTTCGATCGTTTTAATTTTACACAAGAAGATGGCAAGCCAGCTGGCGGTTCACCTGATGTTAATAAGTGACGACCGCCGCCTATGGACATTTGGAGCACCCGAAGGGTTACAAATGTGTTGCCAGTTTTCTATAAAGTGGATCCTGGTTACTACTATCTATAACCATATCGTACTATAAGTCACACAATATAGTATAGTATGAAAGTTGTTTTCTAGGACATTATTAATTTGTAATGAAGCACTCTTTGCAAAGGTTAAATACGATAATCATTTCGCATTCGTGCTTTTTCCGCAGCCCGTGTTCTGAATGCGCCTAATTTGCATAGTAGAGGGCGGTTGTTGCAAACTGCATCGTTGAACTTTAACATCCTTCCATGAGGACTGTGCGCGAATATATATTTCTGGTAAACATATTATCAATTCAATGGTTGAATAATTGTGTTCTTTGCTTAACTTTATAGAGTTGATTTTGCGTTGTATCGATCTAAATGTACTTACTTTTGATGTTACAGCCCGCACACGTCTGTCTCAATTGCTACAAAATTGGGTGGTTTTGTTTAAATAGGATATAACATTACCGTGTCAGAGGTAGAGAAGCTCAGAGATAACGAAATTGAGACCGGTATTCGTGGAATTCGAAAGCCGGACAGAGATTAAAAAAAAAGCTGTCGAGTCACATTTAACGAGACCTCACTGTTAATTTTTAACATAACCGCCGTGCAGCCGTTGGCCTTGGCTGTGAAGAAAAAAACCACACCGATACCATAACAGAGCCGTGGCGTGCCATTGAGGCGGGTGGCCCCGCCAAGGTCGGGGAGTCAACGAACAGGGGGCCACCTGTCTCTGCCGCCAGTGAGGATACACATATTAATTATTGCGACACCGATTGATACGCGAAACAAATATATACAGGGATGCCTATTAAAGATTTTTCAAAAGGTATGCCATCTGTTATTCTAGCACTGAAATACCACGACTTGTCTCGATATGATGCGTTTAAAAGGACGAATGAATACAACTTTTAAGTAATACCGGTCTGCAATGCGTTTTTTTTAATGGCACGATACATTTTAAGTGGACTTAAATTTTACGTAATTTCATCTTATATTAAAACATCCTAGCGCGACAACCCTATCTAAAGATAGTTCTGAGATCGCACACAAAAGTTGTTGCGCATTCCTAACGAGTATTCCAGTATGACGAGGCTTCTTTCCACTTTTAGATAACTCGTCGAGAACCAATTTATTCATTGAGGCACACGAGAAGTATCCTCGCATGGTAATACTAAAATTTTCGTAATTAGGAAACTTAGGAAAGGTAACAAACTTAAATAATCATAAGTGAATATTTTAACCACTGCTGTAACCTAATCTGATTTTCGAATATAATGTACAATTTGGTGAAATTTATTATTTTAATATGCCATTAAGCATATATTTAACCATCAAGGCTTAATTCCGTATTTTATTTAATAATATTCAACAGTACAATACATTTTAATATAAATAAGTAAGTTAATATAAATATAAATATCTAAGTTAACAGAAATTGTAAACAAAATATGTTTTTATATGATAAAATCCATAAAGATGTTGATATGATATAATAAATTTCAAACTATGTCAATCAATACATCAAATTGCAGTAAAATTTACGGTCATAACTTTTGCATTATCTGTAAACTATCAACCTGCTAAACGATTCAATTATTTGATGTACTTCCAAGTTTCGAAATGCGTGTAAGCGAAAACAATTACAGTCTTGGTTCGTTAAAGAAAAAGCTTACCAGCCATCAGCATGTGTTTATCGCAAAAGATAAACACACAACAATATCGGACATTCGTGTTATTGTAAACTTGATATTTTATTTATTTTGAATTACGTTTTCAGTTGACTTAATTATCCCTTCTGACTTCCCATTAAAAAAAAATACAGCATTTTCGTAAGAACGCTCAGGAGCAGTGAGACAATGACATCAGATGAATTTTTAAATCGGCCTATCTCTTCCTACAATGGGCGTTTCAGCAAGTCATAACTATAAATTCATATGAAATGTAA